GCTACTATATGCTGTTGTTTCAAATGGCTGGAACCAGTCAAGATTAATTATGAGCCCCAAATGTGAATCTGCTGTTTTTGGTATAAAGAACTGAGAATTTGGTATGTCAAGTTGTGATGAAAAATTTTTCCAAATTTCACCATCATAAATATCAGATATTAGCCCAGTATTAATATTTCGGTTGGTTCATTTTTTTAGAAGAGATTCAAATCCTGAACGTTGATACATAATGGTTAACTGTGATTTTAAAGATAATAAAGAAAAAATCTTCTTTGGCCTTCTAATGTAATCATCTACAACTAGACTCTGTTTAGTCAATTCAACACCACATAGCTTTTTTTGGCTATGCATTGGATGACTAGGAAACTCTACATGTGTGCATTCAAAATCTTTATCTTGCTTATTTATAACTTCTGAAACCTCATATAAAATATCACAACTCGGACATACACCATATTCTTTTGTATGCATGTTAATTCCCAACAATTTTCTCGCCATATCTAAGCTAGTAGGAAAGTTTTTAAATCTTAACTGATCAGCATCTAATAAGACCATCTGAAAAAACTTAATAAGAGATCTAATTGCAACAACTGGAAGATGAAATCTTGTTTGAAACTTGAATATCCATAACAGTATCTAAAGAAAATTTAATTCAATATTTGGATCAGGATGTTTATAATCTTAAAAAAAATAAAAAAATACAAAAGTAGTATTAGTGGATCAATTCAAATATAATGAATAAAAGATAAAGTCAATTTAAGTAAATTGGATAAAATAAAAAAAGTTAATTCAAATATAATAAATAAAATAAAAAGATTGATTCAAGTACCTTCAAAATCATTATCATAATCTGAATCGCTTAATTCTTGGCTATTATCTGTTAAAACTAGGGGTCTGCAACCCAGGCCCATGCCTGTGCCCAACAAAAGGCTTGGGCATGGGCATAGGCATGAAACCTCAGGCATGGGCATGGGCACAGGCACAGAAATTTGGCATAGACATGGGCATGAGTATAAAAAATTGGCATAGGCATAGGCATGGCACAAAAAACTTGGCATGAGCATGGGCACAGGCACAGAAATTTGGCATAGGCATAGGCATGGGCATAAAATATCTGTCATAGGCATAGGTATGGGCATAGACATAAAAAACTTGGATATGGGCATGGGCACAGGCACAAAAATTTGGCACAGGCATAGGCATGGGCATACTATTCTTCAGATTTTTTAAAAAAAAGCAAAACCTCAAAACCCGAAACCTGAATGATTTTTTGGCCGATTCAATATTTTGGCAATGATTGGTATATATTTTACAGCTGTTCTCATAAATTTTGGAACATCTGATAAAAAATTGACCGAATAATTATTTGGCTAATTCGATAAGTTATTGATTTCGGCATGATCAATGTAACGTTTATTATTTACGTAGATAGTCTAATAACAGCTAAAGCCAGTTATATTACGTATGTATCTACATATCAGGCACCCGATTTGTCACATCTAAAATTTTGTCATATGATTTTCATAAATTACACAAATCGACGAAATTATATTTTTAAAGATTTTACCTAAAAGCTTAGTTAATATACACTATGTTCTCTAAGACAAAATTATTGCTGAAGTTTCTACAAGCTAAAAGGTATCAAAAACATAAGAAAAGAACTTCTCCTTATAAAATAACATACTCTTGAACATGGCCCATTATTT